CATACCTGACAAGAAAATTTAGGTTGTGTACTCTGAAAAAAAGATCAACAAATCTCATTCTGCTGCACTGAGCCCCTCCAGAATGCCTCTGAGAAACAGACCGTGTGCAGCACAAGAAGGAAATGTGGAGGGGTGAAAACTTAATTGGAAAATAGCAGCCTTGGGTCAGAGGCTGCTGGGGCAGCAGCTCCCTGGCGGGTGCACTTACACTACATATCTCTTGATTTAAACTCTATCCTCGGAGGTGTCTATTTGCCCTCATCCGTGGTCGCAGCTTCCTAAACAAAGGGGGAGTCCACGACAAGACAGCCCCACCAAGCGTCAGTGAAGAAGCCCAGGTCATGTGCTGGGAGCTGCGAATCACAGCTTCAGAGCCGATGGGCGTGGTGGCGCACGCCTGTAATCCCAGCACTGGGGAGGCTGAGGCAGTCGGGTTGAAGCGAGTTTGAGCCCAGCCTGGGCTACACAGTGAGCTCAAGGCAGCCTGAGCTACATAGCAAGACCCTGTCTCAACAAAACAAACAACAACAACAACAACAACAACAACAACAACAACAAAACCCAATTACAGCTTCAGACCAGGAATGGCAGGTGACACTGCCTTCCACTGCCGGGCCAGACTGGAGTCAGTACAGAGAAATCTGGGGAGAAGCCTCGCCCTGCCCTCGCTGGCTGTTTGAGCTTGACTCAGTTGGTTTATTCTTTCCAAGCACAGAACTTTTATCTACAAAATGAGAATTGACAGTGACTCCTATTTCCTGGGGCACTGTGAGGAACAGATGAGACCAAGGCTACGGAGGGTCGCCCAGTATCACTTACTGGTAACTGCCACCAGTGCCACTGTTAGTGTTAGTAAGGAACATGCCACCAGCTCTCCTGATGTTGGCTGCTCCATGTGGCTTAAGTTTGGGCCCAAGAGCATACATTCTCATTGCATTAAAATTCATAGTTTTTTACAAACCTGAATAATGTACATAATCTCTCTTAAAGAAATAAATGATTATGAACCTTTGGTGTTGACAGCTCCTTTGGCTATTGTTTAGATGTGTATGAACATATTTAACTCCTTTCCCAATTCTGAAAGCAAAACAAATGAATGAGAGACGGCACAGGGTAAGTCCATTGCATTTGCTTTGTCAGAGATAGCGCTGGTTTATTGAGCAGTGAGGTGAACGCAGCTCAGAGGCGAGGGTCTTCCTGATTCCCCGGGGAAAGGGGTGCCTGTTGCGTCTCTCCTGCAGCATTTCAAGTCCTGGATCTCCCACCACATTTCTTTAAATGTGCAGGGAAATTGTGTTCGTTAGGCGCAAATGCCTCGTTTCCGTGTTGTCTCCTCTCCTCTCCTTTCCTTATCAGCCTCCAACATTTAGGGTAGCACGATCTAGTCACAGAATGGTTGCGAAAACAAACAAATGCAGGTACTAGAATCCCATGGCAAGACTCAATTAAAATTTAAAGCTGAGCAGATGCTGTGAAGTTTTAATGTGGTACTTTGTCTTGGTAGTGGTCGCAACTGGGAGGAGCCTTGGGGTTCCTGGAGTGCCTTTTGTCAGACGTTCAAGGTTTGAGTCTCAGCAAGGAAGCACTGTCTTCAGGATGTGGGTAGGGGTGAAACAGGGATCTCCATGTCTGAATGGGAGAGTTCGGGATCACTGCTCCTTCAGGTGGGTTCCAGCAGTGCTTGGGTCTGAGCTGGCTCTTCCTTCAAAGGAAACTTGTAATCTGCTGAAGCGCTTGGCCCCTGGCCCTGCCTAGCCATCCTGCGTTCTCTCTAGT